TTTGTGGTTGGGGTATTCCTGCTGCTCACAATAAACTGCAACCACCCTACCTCCCGTGCCGAAGTCAACCTAGGATTAGAATCGAACGAGCACAAACGTTCAGATTGTGAGCTTGAAAATAAATTTTTAAGATACTATGGGCGAAATTATGTATCAGTCTGATATTACTGTCTGACATACACCAGGAATATCTGTCGTCAGCTGCGAAAAGTAGAGACCGCAATCTCACATGTGTTAGTGGTCGTCGAACAGCTCTTATTGAGCAAACGAAACACAGTGAAGACTGAAACATAACAGAATCAACAGTTATATAACCTGTGATCCTCGTTACTTTGTATGAATCATAATTGATGCAGTATTGTAATATCATTAAATACAAGTAAGAACTACATTATAAATGCTATACTGAATTCTTATCATGATACATCATAACAAAATTTATGTATCAGCTGATATTACGTCTGACATACGGACCAGAACGTTTACACTCATTGCTCAATTCACTACACTCTACTATAACTCACTATAACTTTAATGAATTTTTCTCCTTCTTTCAATTTATATTTTACAGTCAAACCTGCATATAAGGAAATATGCAGTCATACCTGCATATAACTCAAGGAAAATGGCAAAAGTGTGGACAGACATGTCTGTTATCACGAACATGTATCATTATCATGTATACAGGGTTCATGGCATTACATTGAGGTCTGTCAAAAACTATATAGCAAAGGATCTGTCTGTACGTAATTAACATTTCAAAATATTTATACCCTGTGCATCAGAACTTCTGCGACCCTCAGCAGTGACATGATCGCCATGCCAGACGCCGTGCTTAGACCGTCGACACATCGTTGCAGGACGACCACCGCCGTATCCCATGACATGTTGTCGTTGCCGCGGCAATGGTGTGTGAGAGCAAACCTGATGCACGTCCACTTGGCTTCCGTGTAGAGCAACACTGACCGGTTTAATTCGACCAGCGACAATTTAATTCGGGCACTCACTTATTTAACATGTTAACTGTTACAATAATTGTAAAGAAACCAATATCAGAAAAAATCCCTGACATCGGGGTCAAACAGAGAGCATGTAAATAAAGAGGAGAACAGCTCTGAACACAATCAGGGCGGGTCGCTGCGCAAACACACCTCGTCAACTTTCGACAGTCTCCAGTCTGTGTACGGGACTGCTGACTAGCTTCTGTACGTGTGGCATCAGGACAGCAGCAGGACACAGCGCGTGTAGAATCCGCAGGGCCCTGCAGTATAGCTCCACGGTCGACACATCGCTCGCCTGCCAATTAACGCAAAACCTTATCAGATTTCATTTTATTTGCGCTCGATTACCTCCCAGCCAACGATCGACGTACCGGAGAGAATGCATTATTAACAGCTTTGCCTGTGTGTACAGTCAAACGCGCCACTCGATGGAGAACGCGGAAAGTGTGCTTTATGTTACGATATGAGATTCATGTATCGATACCGTATATATACATCGTTGATGACGTCACATAGCAACATAAGGCAGAATAAAATGGCTACCTATAACTCATAACATGGTTGAACATTGCCTCCTTATTATAGGCCATCAGGCACGCTTCACACTTTATAGACAGGCGTCTGTTATGTAGTGGTGGCTTTAATGTATGCTCACCAATCAAGGGGAATGCCAAAAGTTTCATTTATAGACCGGGGCCTGTTGTTAGAAACAATATTGGACTTAACATTAGTCTTAATATTAACTATTTCTCACAGACGTGACCTCTAGACACTGTGTATGAGAAACTCATGTTTCTGTCAATCGTCTATGAAAAAAATTAATGTTAAGACTAATGTCGAGTCTAATTTTGTTTCTGATAATGGGCCCCAGGTGTTATTCTTAACATTAACTTTTGCCTGCAGACCGAACATGTGTACACTGTGTATGAATAGGAACTTCATGCTGTTTTTGTCAGTGGTCTATGAGAAAAAGGTAACATTAAAGGTAAAATGTTAAGTCTATTTTTGTTTCTGACCACGCATCCCAGGTGCAGTTCAAACCACTATCAACTGCACATCAACTAATTCATGACGTAGTGAGCGTAGCGAGTGAGCGGCGTATCCTTACGATGCAATTGATCTGACGTAGTGATGATATCGTGAAATTAATGTATCGCGGATGTGATCTTCTGTGCAAAGGCAGAATAGCGAGTGCATGCGTGTGCATTGTGCGTGCGTGCACGTGAGATGGTACTTACAGTCCATGGGTTTTTAGAAGTAGCTGCTGGTGGTCAGACAGGAGAAGACAGAAGGCACTAGGTCTGAAAGCTATCCCTGAGCAAAGGCACACGCAGCCACCCTCTGTGATGGGTCGGCTTCTAACTCCTGCACCTCCTGCTGCTGCTGCATTTGCCACACCTGTCCGCCACACAAACACACATCAACCGTTATTCAGCCTGACCGAGTTAAAAGACCGAAAGCACGAAGGAAGACCATTAATTGTGACTGTAGTCATTTGTCGCTAAATTTATGGTTGCAATATAAATATCCTAAAATATCAAGTTGAAAAAACAGACATAATTAACAGTGGCAGTGGGTGGCAATGCCAATGCAGTAGAAAAAGTTTGCAACTAACTAAACAGGAAGGGAGACAATTCCAATACGATATATAACAGAAACAAAGAAGCTAAACATAAAGGGATCCTTTGAAGATGGCACGTGTCGAAAGTGCAACGATAACGCTCAGATGATCGAGTGCAACAAACAGGCTTCATCAAGCAAGAGAAGAGGGAATGTCAATCTTCACATGACCATGATAAATTTTATGAAAGGTTAGCGAAATTGAATTGAATAATAAGGCTTAGCGAATTGGATAATAAAGCAATTATTGGAGAAAGCGGACACCAAGAGAAGGGGGTTACCGCTATCACATACTACAGTCTTCAATATTCTGGACTTTGAAGACACATGTATGCGTCTAATCAGAGGAATTGCTCCGCCCTGTGATTGGAGGATAAAAATATAATTCGTGACGTCACGTTTTCATTTCGCATACCCCGCCGCATACGCTGTTATGCAATGACTGGTAGGAAAGTGTACTAACTATCATATGGCGCGAACGATTTGAGTTACACTTCTATAAATTCTAGCTATTATAGACACATGTCATGTGTTAGCCTTAATCTCTGTGAATTTTGAGTCTATTGAAGCACGATTAGTCTAATTAATTAGCAAATATGCACACGCGGTATCGCTCATAGTCATAGGCTACGCGCGGCTATGGCCGGTAGAAAGTGTACTAACTACTAACTATCATATGGTGCGAACGATTTGAGTCACATTGCTATAAATTCTAGCTATTATAGACACATGTCTTAGCTATGATCCCTGTGACTGTGAGTCAGCCTAAAAATTACCCTTTTTTTTACGAGAGCTCTTTTTTGATTTTGTATGAAAAAAAGAGCTCTCGTAATTTTTTTTATGTACTTTTCACAATAACTAACTAATAACTGATAGCAATCAGTGCTCTTCTGAATACACTCTATCCTTTTGTGAACATTGGAATCGATGAATTTTGAATGCATGCGGCCCATGTAGAAGTAAGCTATCAGCGCCGGACGAATATTATCGTTGTCAAACTGTTCCAGCATCTCGCAGTTCGCCGTCTTAACGAGTCAAGGAACAACTCAAAATTGTGAATGCACTCGGCGCAGAGCAGGTTGATCTTACTGATGGCGTGTGGCGACGGCGTCGTCTGCTGCTCCTTGACGATCGCCATCTTGATGTCGAGCATCTCGCCGTACGCCTCGGCGATCTCGTACGTCAGCCCGCCGGCAGATGAGCAGGTAGCAGCGCGGGTTAAGCTCGCCGAGCACTCCCTGCAGCGCGTTGACGCGCCGCTTGTGCATCTTCAACTTGCGCTCAAAGTCCGATTCAAAGAACTTGAGCAGCTTGTAGAGCAGGCTGGAGTCACACGTGAGCTCGGTGTAGTCCAACGCGGGGTCGTAGAGCGAGTAGAATGGAATGCTCTGGGCAGACCGTAGAGATAGCATCCGTGCCGCTTCAGTGATTCTGGCCCCAGTGACTGCAGTGACCACTGGGTGCTGGTGGCAATATCCATGAAGGAGTGACTCGACTCATATTATACTTGGATCCACTGGAGAGCACAGACGCCTCCTCTTCTCCTCGAGCAAATCAGGCATTCTCCATGACGATAGCTTTTCTGAAAGAGAAAACGAAGATAGATGTGGTGGAATGGACACTGACATGCCCACCACACAGTCTCCAGGATTCTTCTAGTTGCGGGGCATTTGTGTGCCACTATGCTGCGCAACTTCTAAAAAACAGATCACTGATGGCAGACAGAGATGTGATGCAGCTAAGAAAAATAATTTTTGAAGAAGTTATGGGCCACTGTAAAATTATGGCTACAACTGAAGAAAAAGAGATGTGCTCACGATGCAATGGTCGGCATCTGGAGGATATGCTGCGCCAAGTGTGAACAATGGCTTCACTGTAAATGCATTGGTATTTCTAAAGAAGAGGCTCAACGTCTACCTGCTTTTTACTGTCCGCTGGTGTTATAATAATTATAATTAAACCTAAAATGATGGCAAATAAAGAACGGAAAAGGAGATTTTTATGAATTTTTGCTTAGTGGTGATGAGGTTAATGGCACATCACACTGGAGTCATCGAGAGGCCAAACTACAGCTATGACAAGCACTTGGTATGAAAATATCTCATATAAAATATCAAGATAATTCATTGAGAAATATAGAAGTTGTGGCTAATAAAGCCACAACCTCTATAGTATAAATGCTCCAAAACTCTGCGATTTGCTCCCATACCTTGCAAAAATTCCCCCAAAATTGGTCAGAATTTTATCACCATATAATGCCTGTAATTCTTGATAGGGTAGAATTTTTCAATTCTGTAAACTGTGTCATGTTTTCTATGCCCTGCGCCACAGCCACAAGCATTGGGAACACTTCAATGATAAAATTATGGTAAATAAACATGAAATGTATTTACTATCGAAATCTTAAAGATTATCTATGCTCTTTCGCCTATTATTCGTAACAGTCAGGGCCTAATCCAAAACATTTTTCATACCGAATGCCGGCCGCCCAAATTACGACCCCTAGAAAAAACACCCAAATTACAAAATTATACAACGCCCAAATTAGCAGAGCTCTGAATTAAATCACCATGTTTCTATCATTATGTAGACACTGTTTTATAATAAAATGCTCATATAAGATCTATAATCTCTTATCTGAACTATTTTCCCATTGCTACGCTCGCCACGGGTTCCCAAGCAGCTAGATTAGCCCGTGACAGTATCAACAAGTTTTTATCATATTACTACTTAGCAAGTGATGATTAAGTAATATCAGGAGCGTATAATGACAAATATATTTGACAAATATATATGACAAAAATATATATATGACAAATATATTTGTCATTATACGCTCCTGGTAATATCATATTTAAGTATCATTAAGTAAATAACGGATTAATCAATGAGACGCAATTCCATTTAAATTTTCAATTCGAGTAAATACATTTCGTGTTTATTCACCCTAACCAGTATAACTCGCGCGCATCCGCGAGCGAGGGGTCAGCCAACTGGAATGCTTTGGGCAGACCGTATTTATTTATTTATTTATTAATTTAAAGACTGTACATTTGTAACAGATATGTCAACATGAGCTTGCAAGCTCCTCACCGTCAAGATGGCATCAGTGCCGCTTCAGAATTCTGGCCCCATGGAATCCTACTGGTGACCACTGGGTGCTGGCGGCCATATCCACGAAGGAGCGACTCATATTATACTTGAATCCACTGGAGCGCACAGATGTCTCGTCTTCTCTCTGAGTAAATCAGGCATTCTCCATGATGTTAGCTTTCCTGAAAGAGAAAACGAAGATAGACGTGGTGGACGGGACCTGTGCTCGCCCGAATCTCGCAATGAGCTGGCATGCTGCCAACAACGCATCTACAACTGGCATCTGCAACTAATCTAGCAGGTGATGGATCGTAGACATCGTAATGCTCTATATATAGAATCTATGTGAATAAGTAAATTCAAAATAATAACTATATTATTTTGAGGTCATAATTTAGAGTGGCACAGAGTTCAGGGGCCCTGTGTGTAGGAAACAAAGTTGAGAAAGTCCTAACATTAGCCTCAGTGTGAAACTTTCCTTTTAGACCTTTGACAGAAATGTAAAAATTACTAGAATTAAAAATCATAGCAAATTTCCTCATAGCTTTACGAATTAAAATTCTTTCAACGATTTAGGAGAAAAGGATAGTGTTAAAACTAATATTATAATTAATTTTGCTGCAAAACGCTTGCATATTATGAAAAAACTATATTATGAGGGAATTTAATGTTATATGCTAGCACGTCATCAATTCGAACTTCACTTACATACACATTTTCAGTGGGTAGACAAACTTATTATTACTACCACCGGTGCTTCAAAGCTACCTTGTTAAATGTCTCCAGTATTGTAGAAGGTAGATCTGGACTCCTCCTGAATTTCTCGTGGAACACTACTGGCACTGCAGCTTCCAGAATGTTTCAGAAGCACGCATGGTTCTTCCAATGATCCTGCACCGTGTTCCATGCTGCTGTCACCACCTCAATTACGACTCCATCGCCGAGATTAACCTAGATTAAAATTGACGAGCACAAATTGTTTGAGCTTGAAAATAAATTTTTAATGATACATGCGAAATTATGTATCAGTTGATATTACGTCTGACATACGACCAGGAATAT